CATGAAAACGTCCTGCTCTCCGTGTGTGTAGTCGGGACAATCCCAAGACTCCCAGAGAGCCTTTTTGATCTCTAGACCAATCTAAAACCCTGAAAATCAAACAGACACAGCTTCTTAAGCTGTTCTTAAGTTAATGACAATTATTTTTAATATAATTATGGTTCCTCTTCTCCCTTAGGATATTACAAACACACCTGTGTACGTCACAGAGCCACTGATGAGCAAGCAGCACTGGTGACAAAACAGGATGTGGTTACGGCAATTTTATTACTATTTCAAAACAGAAAAGCTCTCTTTTATCCTTAATTCCAGGAAGAGACAGAGAAGGAAACTGGGTGTAACTGAAAAACAAGAATGAGTGTAGAACTATGTAAACTTGATGTGTACCACAGCACATAGCAGATTGAAATGTGGTGACTTAGACATGTATCATAGCACACAGTGAACTGAAACAACAAAGTGACTTAAAGGATCTTAAAATCGCAAGTTGAAGAAGTATTATTTGGGAAAATATTTCTCTAGTCTATGCACAAATTTAAGTGATTTTCTTCTAGTTTTAGTGTATCACCTTATTCAACTAGTACACATTCCTTGAGCATTACATGTAAATATAATGCATGAGCATCAAACAAGCTTGCAATGCTAAGGGTTTGTCAGCAAGGAAAAGAAAACACTAGAGGTATTGGCCTCAGTACATATATTTATATGGCAGTACACTGATATAGTGGACAGACTTCCAGCCTCTGCTCATGCCCTCCCCCATTGCAAGAACACTTTGTTCTACCAACCTGGCATTCTGTGATGCTCACCCTCCTGGCACAATAACTGATGACAAAATGGATGCACAAGCAAATGTGTTGAAGAAAGCAGATGGTGCCTGGCTTTCAAAAGATATAGCATCTGGGGTCTTAAAGGCTTGAAGTTAAACATGCTGCCATCTAGCAGAGAAGCAATAAGCCCACATAGAAGAAACACACCAGCCTGTGCAGTCATGAGGTGTTGATGGGATCCGGTAACAGGCATCAGAAGACCCAAAACAAACAAATAAACAAGCAAAAAACGCATATTGTTGAGAATGAGGGGGATCAGAGCAGGGACCCAAAGCCCATCTGTAGACAATTGGACATCCCCACACAGAAGAGCCACAGGTAGGGATGAGTCAACCAGGGTGAAGTATAGCACCAATGAAACACACAATATTCCTCTGGTTCCTTGAGGCTTCCTCACCCCCAACTATCATGACCTCAGTCCTGCCTTTCACTGCAGTCTAGGCCGGAGCAGGTGCACAGGTACAAATAAGAGATAAGAGCGCACGACACACGGAATTTAGGAACAGGAATGGGAGTAGCGATACCAGGAGGGTGGGGGGAAGATGGGGAAAGAAGGGGAGGATTGGGGAACGGATTGCAATGGTTAACACATAACCATACCCACCCTCCACCCCCAGGGGGGATGAGCAACAGAAACCATAGAGGAAGGGAGACAGCAGATGGTGTAAAATACAAAAATAATTTATAATTTATCAAGGGACACGAAGTTGGGGGGGAGGCGTGATGGAGGGAAAAAAGAGGAGTGGATAACAAGCACTCAAGAGAAAGTAAATGTTTAGAAAAGAATGATGGCAACATATGTACAAATATGCTGTACATAATTGATGTATGGATTGTTATAAGAGCTGTAAGAGCCCCCAACAAAATGATCTTTTAATTAAAAAAAAAAAGACCAACTATTATATAAACTGGCCCAAATGTCTTCCTTGGTGTTAGTGCAGTCGAGTAGACCCCTGACTTACAGAACACGGCCCACTCCTACACCACACCCAAGGTTGGTTGTGAATCAGATCTTTCTGATTTTCAGTTGTGCATTGCCAGGCCTTTCTTCCTAGTCTGTCAGCTGTGCTGAAACCTGCTCTGAATCAAAGCAGCATGCAGGCCTTCAGGGACAGACAAGCGGTGACTGTCCAGAGGGTACACTGAATAGGAATCCAACTTGGGTCCTCCCAGAGAAACTGGGAATTTTATCACTGAAACACAACTCCCACTTCTTGCCTTACCCTCAGACCCTGTGACTCCATTTCTATTTTACAGAAAGAAATAAAATCATGTCTTCAGAGAGGTACTTATGAACAGAGAGCCAACCAGAGCCATGCCCTGGTTAAGATACAGTTCCCCTAGACTTCAAGGTAGCCGTGATATCAAGTTTGTTCTTGTTGGGTGCTGAGTTGTTTTGGGATCACTGACCTCCCTTGTGACTGAGTAGAACTGGCCCATAGGGCTTTCTTGGCTGTGCTTTTTACAGAAGCAAAGATCTTACACCCGCAGATCTACGGGGTGGGTTCAAATGGCTAACCTATTGACTGGCAGCTAAGAACTTAACTCTTTGCACCACCAAGGCTAGTAGGTATTAATTCATTTAGTGTTTACAACCACTATATATACTAGGTATTATTATTCCCATTTTAAAGGTTTGATAAGGAGTCCTGGTGTCCCTGTGGGTTAAGTATCTGGCTGCTAATTACATGGTCTACCTTTTAAAGATACCAGTTGTTTTGTGGGAGAAAGACGAGGCTGTTTGCTCACATAAAGATTTACAGCCTTATAAACCCACAGGAGTGTTGTTCTCTGTCTCACTGTCCTAGAAGGACAATGAGGGTCTAAACTTGAAGCCTATGGGTTTGAAGGTCTGAGGTCACATTCCTAATGAGAGGCCAATGAAGGGCTGTGCCCATGAGTCAGACTTCAAGAGCTCTTAACCACTACATTTAACTGTGCCTCCAAAGGCAGACATGACAAGAAAACAGTTTAAAACACAGTAATATGTATATACATATATATATATATACATACATAAGCACACATTTTAAACCTACCACCATCAAGCCTATTCCAAGTAATATAAAACTTGTAAGACGTAGTGGAACTTCCCCTTTGGGTTTCTGAAACTGTAAATCTTTATTGGAGCAGACAGCCTCATATTTCTTCCCCTGTACCATCAGAGTTCCTTAAGGATAATAATAGTTCAATAAAAAAGTTTTCTATTCAGGTTATGTCCAAAATTGCTATAATGAATACCAGACCGACGAGGGGGCAAGGGTTGGGTGGGGCTGTTCTTTGGATGTGCGAACACCACTGGAGAGTCCAAAGAGGTGTCAGAGAAGCCGCAGAAATTCCTGAGAATGTCTTAGAAGAACACGTACAAAGGAGACAGACAGGAAGACAGGTCAGCATCACAGAGCCCAAAAGTGGGGTTTCAGGCAGGTCTTGGCAAAATGTCATTGCCACTGAGTTGATTCTGACCCCTAGGACGGAGCAGAACTGCCACTGTGGGTGTCCAGGACAGGAGAACTCTAAGGACGTAGAAAGTTTTATCTTTCCCCCGGTATACAATAGAAGTGGAAAAGGGGCAGGATTTCCCAGGTAATACCAGCAGATGAGTAGACAATTGAGGAATGAGGAAGACTTAGATTCCCCAGGCCTAGATTGACAGATAAATTAGAAAATCGGTCAAATTAAAAATCCATATAAGAATGAGAATTAAGCCATTTTGTCACTGGGCTTGGTACCTTATCATTTGATCTCCTTTGCGATCCTTCATGGATTTGTGCCAGTTCTTAGTGTTTTCTGCCTTCATTTCATTTCATTGGGTTTTGTCTGTTTTGCCTTGTTATTGTTGTTAGTTGTACTGTTATTGCTATTATTATTTTAATATTTTTCTGTATATGAAATCCAGGAGAGGCGGACTGATGGAGACAGTGGCTGGACTGGCATTTCCTTGGGGGTGTGGTGGGAAAGGTTGGGGGCAGAGGGGAGCTGCGGATGGGAACAGGAATGAGGACGGTGTTCTAGAGCTGATTGTGGTGATGGGTGTGCGGCTCTTCTTGACGAGGTTGGGCTGATGAATTGTGTGGTGTGTGAATTGTATGCCACTAGAGCTATAAAAAAAGAGAGAGAAAGAAAAAGAAAATGTAAAACTGGAAAAATAAATGTATTGAATGGAGCACGTAAAGTATGTACTTTATTGTAATTATATTTCAATGACAAAAATAAATTAATTAAAAGGAAAAAGATTGAATGTAGTTATATAAGTAAACAATTTATTATTGGTTTTCGTGGCCATCAAGTGGACCCCAATGAATAGTGATGTGAAATGGGATTGGACCAGTGAGAGTCATAGGGCTTTCACTGATTTGCTGAAGCAGATCATCAAGGGTCCCTTCGTAGTCCTTAGTCAGGACACCCCACTGAACCTACTCAACAATGGCAGCACACAAGCCTCCGTCGACTGCCATGCTGAAAGGGCCAGCTGAGAACGGAGCCCGGTGCCCGTGGAAAGTGAGAATTCGACTACTGAGCCTTCACCGTCCTCTCCCTCTGTGACGATCTTATGCTTCAATGCTCATTTCTAAATTGTTATACAATAAAATGGACTTTTTCTTCTGGCGAATAACAACAGCAACAGCAACAAAGAGACGTTTTGTCCTGAGGAGAACAAGCTAGAATTATGGAAAACTGCAAAGAAATAAGGGGGGAAAGTTTGAAGATTTAGAACCAAGAAGGAACTGGTAAATGCATAGAAAATTTTTTGAATAATAAGAGTCATATATAAAATAAAACTGTCGTCGACCCAGTTTTAAGGGGTCCTGGTGGCCCTGTTGGTTAGGTACTGGGCAGGGATTCCAAAAGAAGGATGAAGCTGTCTGTTCCGAGAAAGATATAGTCTCAGCGACCCTACATAAGAGTCAGAATTGACTCTATAATGCCAAATTTGGTTTTTTATTGACCCCCATTTGAGTGTTGATCTGCCTAGTTCCGTAAAAGACATTACCAATAGTGCTCTAGCTACCAGATGCTCAGATGTTTAATCATCCTACTTGTGAGCCTTTAGTCTCTGTCATGAGGGAAAAACACATGTTCCTATATGTCACACTCTTAGAAAAATGCTTGCATGAAGTACGCACTATAAACACCATCCAACCAGACAGCAGTTGGACTCTGACTTACTTGCTGTGGTTTCCAGTTTCCTTTGTCTTGTCTCCTGCAGTAGCCATGCTTTAAATTGCACAGGACCCTGGGGGACAAACACAAGAGTGAACCCATTCAATAGGAACCAATGTCACAGAAGAGTCATTGAGGTCACACTTAAGAAGTGAACAACTCCAATGCAATAGTAAAATCCTTTACACACTTGCACTGTCGTCAGTTGCCGCCTAGTCAATCCTAGCTTATAGTGCCACCATTTGTGCAAAGGAGAATTGTGCTCCAGACCGTATTCAAGGCTGTGACCTCGCAGTAGCAGATCACCAGGCCTCCAGGTGGGATCAACTCAGCAACTTTTTGATGGGTAGGGTATTGCTTAAGCATTTAGGTTACCCAGGGACTCTGTGTGATGATGCTTTATATCCACACAAAGGTTTTCTATAATGGACCCAATTGTTACAGATTTAATTGTGCCCTTAAAAAGGGTATGTTAAATTTATACACCTGGGTCCTTGTTTGGAGGAGTTTTTCTTCGTGAATATTAAGTTACCATATATATATGGTAACTTAATATTCACGAAGAAAAAGTATATATATATATATATATATATTTAGCTTCCCTCTGTAATGGGGATGTCTACTGTAAGCTTGTACTCCCTGTTGGGTTGGGTTGTCTGGGACACAGCAAAGTGAAGTGGGAAGCAAGCAGGCAGGTGCATATGGATGATACGGATGCAAGGATCCAGGGTTGG